GTAAAAAATATATATATATATATATATATATATATATATATATATATATATATATATATATATATAAATTTGGTTTGATTATACCATACTCAAGGACACAACACAAAGAAATTCCTGTTAAAATACCCTTGTTAAAATGACTTTTTTTTTCTTATCAAAATAACAATTTTCTGGTAAGTAATTAAATAACATGTTTTTCAGCTAAAAATAAACATTTATTAATTATTAAATAATAATAATGTAAATTAGTATATTAAAACATTTTCTTCACAACCCTTTAAAATTGAGATGTCATGGAAGTAGCAGATTTCTTCTGTTTTGTGATGTATATCTGAGTGTAAAAGATTATTAAAAAAGAAAAAAAAATGTTGGACAGTTGGTTCAGTTGTTGAATTATTATTATTTGGGGGGATGCATTGTTCACAATAAGATCGATAACATGCATTTAGAAAATAGACGTGAATCATAGATGTACATCGATTTCATCATTTCATGCCAGTTTTAAAATTCTTTTTTTCATTTTTGCATTCCACTGCGCTGTTTTTTCCATTGTTTTTCTATGCAAATATGTGTTTGATGGACATAATTTGCCTGTTATGCTCAGTGTTCTAAAAATGTACGTTTTAGGCAGAGGTTGGGCAGAAAAAAGTTGTAAAGGTAACAGCTGCACATTTCCCTTTTTACACCCATCACACTCTCTGCATAATAGCTCTCTCATTTTCCCAAAGACAAATGCCAGCACCATTATATTTCAGAAAACGATGACAAGTCTGCATAGATTAAACAATAAAACACCTCTCATGGCCTTTTGTGGCCTCCTCCTGAGCTGCCTACTGTACTAATGGAGCTAAATCCACTTCACATACACATAGAACTCCATTTCCCTCACAGTGCGATTCTGTGCGGCCTGAACTCTCATGCCTCGCCATGCATTTATTCATAGAGTCGAGAATATTGATGTAGTGCTCAATGGGGGGAGAAATTGGCTGGATGTAGCCGTCTTAAGACTGGATGAATTGCATAGGTGTGGAGACAAGTAACCACAGGACTAATTTGTGGTTTTCACATGGATGTTTGAGAATGTATAAATGTGGTTCCTTCACATTTTTATGAGGTAAATCAAAAACCAACTTTACATTTCATACACATGCACTAGTGTACCTAGAGTGTTAAACATATGGATATAGTTTTTCACAATCAGTTTGTGAAGTTAAGAGTGCTGGTCTTTAACTTTCACATCCTCTTGAGTTAGATGAGGTTAAACGATTGTGTTCAACTGTTGTTGACCCGTGACCCTTCTCAAAGTAGAAAGGCGGGCCGACAACCCATCTCATTCTTCTATGTTTATAACAAGAGTGATGGAGATCGGTCTACTCTACTTCACTTCACTGGCAAACATAACTATTTTAATATTATCCATTTTACTTGCATGAATTTAATGAAGCTCATTGTGAATTGTGAAGTTCCTTGTAATCGCAGCTGTTTAATGACTCGCCTCCTCCTATGCTGCATGTAATAAATGCCGCTGTCACCCAGAGCACGGCCATGATTTCAGCTCATTAGACTATAAAAATAATGTTTAGGTGAGCAATAAAATACTTTGTTTGCAAACAAGCCCAGACAGGAAGATTGCCAGCTCACACTAAGCGTGATATTTATTTATTTATTTATTTCTGAGTATTTTAAATTAAATCATAAAAAGGGTATAATATTTTAGTCAACAAAAAGAATTGTAACAGATGGAATAAAATCTCTGAAAGTACAACCTGATATATATATATATATATATATATATATACAAAGAAAAAATACATTTAAGATAAAAATAAATAAAATCAACATTTAAAAAAATCAAAAGTACAGGATATGAAATGTATAGAAATGTATAAGCTGAAGTATTAGCAATTTTTTTGCTGTAGATTTGTGAACTTTTCATGTCCACAATTTTAATTAAACAGCCTTAACACTTCTCACCCCTATACAAATAATCTGCACTGTAAAAAAAAAACACAAGCACATTAACTAACAAAATAAGCTTTTAAATTATCTGGTTTTATCCAAGTCAAATATAATATTTCATATGACTAAATCAGCCTGACTATATTGAGTTACACAACGTAATTTTTAAGGGTCACATACGATAAAACTAATTTTTCAGGGTAAAAACTGCATGTTTTCACTTTTTACAATGTATTTTTAAATAAATTATGGGTTGACCACAAATATTTAGCTGTGAAAACTGTCTATAAATCACTTTAAGTATGGTTATTTTATACTACCAAGAAACCAGAGAGCAGGCTTAGCTTTATATTCAGGACTAAAACGGTTATGTTACATTAGTATGTGTGTTAGGTTTATGTGTTTTCTTCACTTCGTGTTGATTGCCATGTCTTTACATTTGCGCTCATTGTTACAAGTTGTTAACACTCAAGTGCACAGCTTTCTTTGTGGTCCCAGCCCCCAGTACAAACAGGGTTCCTGTGCGTGCACAAGTGTGTGTTATGATTTAGTATATGTGCCCTATATGAGTGTGTGTACAGCAGGCCTAAAACAATGGCCCTCTCAGATTACATCTCTCTGTCTGTGGAGGCTGTAAAGAGGGGCAGGAGAACTCCCACTGGCTACCCCTCCCGCCTCTCCTGTCCGGGCCGACGCTCTGATTGGCTCAGGCCACGTATATATTTACACCATGGGTTCATCAAAACTCACTACAACTTTCAAACTCAGCACAAGAACTATATATACCGTCTGGAGTTACAAAACATTAACATCTGTGGGATTTTATACTTCTGAAACATCCGAAAACAAAGAGTGCAGCCTTTTCTAGCTCTTTTTATTTCTTTTTATGATTCCTTTTATTTGGGTTACTGGTCAGTCTGTATTTAAAGTAGCTTAAAGTAGCATAGAGACGTCCTGGTGTTGCTTCATTCCAAAGACAACAGCGTGCTTTAACCGTGGTGGTCTTGCTGGAATGAATATATCTGAGTCTAGTTGCTGTCAAGAGGCCAGTTCTCAGCTTAGCCTGGTTGCGGAGCGTGGGACATGGGGTGCCTCTTCCAGCACTCCGGGCCCTGACCGGGCACATGGTTTTGACCGCAGCCGGACCACAGAGCTGGCACCGTTGCCTGGCTCTGGAACACAGACAGGGTCCCGAACCGGAGGGGCCGAAGCAGAGGCCAGGACGAGAAGCCCGGACTCAACCCGTGCTGGAGCTCTGACCCTGGGCTCTGGTGAGGGGAAATCAGGGGGGGAGTCGAGGATCAGGAGGCCGATGAATGCCTTCATGGTGTGGGCTAAAGATGAGCGCAAACGTCTGGCCCTCCAGAACCCAGATCTGCATAACGCCGTGCTCAGTAAGATGCTGGGTAAGACGCTCGCTATACACCACATCACAGGGGTTAAGCTGGGGTCAATCTAGTGCATCGGCAGGGGTGCGATGTCTCAGATGTGGCATATTTGAAAACTGGTGGTTTAAAATCAGATTAAGAGTTTAATAAAATTACCACATATATACTGATGTGTCAGAATTGCCTAATTAATACGTTATAAATAATAAAATATTAAAATAAATAAAAATAAATTGAAAAACAAAATTGTTAATGTGAGGTTAATAGAGGAATAATTGGTCTTGAGATCCATAAAAAAATTATACTGCTAATAAATGACAGCACTGGGTCAAGCAAAGATGACCACATTATTTTCATTATTTTATTTAAATCTTTAGTAAAGGGCCATAAAATGAAGTTCATAATGAATATAATAATTAAATGCTCAATAAAAATGATCAATACATTTTTGTATTATATAATAAATTATATTCATGTTGCACAAAATCATATCTTTCATTGTTTCATTGTCATATGACCTTATTATAAACTCAATTTTATAATTGAAAAAAAAAGAAAGGTGCCAGTTTATTATAATCTTACAAAAATTTACTTTGTATGCTGCTCAGAATTATTGATTAGAAAAGCCTTGGGCGCACATGATATGTAAATCTTGCACAATATTTGTGTTTGACTGTTTCTCAGGGAGACATTTTGATGTCCTTATTTTTTTAAATATAACAGGGCTGTGGCAGACACACAAGCTGCCGATTGTCTGAAGCCATTGACCCATTAATAATTTAAAAACTACAACCCAACTGCACCAGTTATATGTAATGATTCGCTCATGTCACACACACGTTTCTCAGTACTTGTGTTACATCTGTTTTCACCAAAAGCTGCTGCAAATGTAAAAATTGTGACAGCTCATTTAAAAATCATTTGTGCATGATTATATTTGTATATTTATTCCACCAGAGAGCTAAATTACATTTTTCTAAATAATCAGAGGAATATGGCTCAATAACCTGGCATTGTTTCTGCATTAAATTAGAACAATGTTGTAATGACTGAACAAGGTATGATAAAAATCATATTTATAAACCACTAAAGCCAAAACAGCAAACACAAAAAGTAGCACAATGAATCCTGAAACAATAACACTGATTGGATGATGTTTTTAGGTCAATCCTGGAAGGCTCTAAGCACACTAGACAAGCGTCCGTTTGTGGAGGAAGCCGAACGACTGCGTTTGCAGCACCTCCAGGATCACCCGAACTACAAATACCGTCCTCGCCGCAAGAAGCAGCCCAAGAAGATGAAACGAGTGGAACCGGGTTTGCTCCTCCAAGGCCTCGCTGGCGGCCCAGGACTAGGAGAAGCTTACTCGCTACACTGCCATGCCCATCATCTGCTGCCTCCTCTGGGACACTTCCGAGACCTCCACCCCTCCAGAGCTCCAGAGCTGGAGAGTTTCGGCCTGCCGACGCGGGGTCAATCTAGTGCAATGTCTCAGATGTGGCATATTTGAAAACTGGTGGTTTAAAATCAGATTAAGAGTTTATTAAAATTACCACATATATACTGATGTGTCAGAATTGCCTAATTAATACGTTATAAATAATAAAATATTAAAATAAATAAAAATAAATTGAAAAACAAAATTGTTAATGTGAGGTTAATAGAGGAATAATTGGTCTTGAGATCCATAAAAAATTATACTGCTAATAAATGACAGCACTGGGTCAAGCAAAGATGACCACATTATTTTCATTATTTTATTTAAATCTTTAGTAAAGGGCTATAAAATGAAGTTCATAATGAATATAATAATTAAATGCTCAATAAAAACGATCAATATATTTTTGTATTATATAATAAATTATATTCATGTTGCACAAAATCATATCTTTCATTGTTTCATGGTCATATGACCTTATTATAAACTCAATTTTATAATTGAAAAAAAAGAAAGCTGCCAGTTTATTATAATCTTACAAAAATTAACTTTGTATGCTGCTCAGAATTATTGATTAGAAAAGCCTTGGGCGCACATGATATGTAAATCTACTATTAAATCAAAGCAATTAAATTGAAAACACACAATTGTTCATAATATTTCACTAGCACACTTTCCCACACCACAGAGTGCATGTGCTTTTAAAGATGTTTTTTCTTCTTAAAACAGTTTTAATTAAATACAAAAAAAATGTATTACACAACAAAATGTATCAATGCATATATTGCAAAATAAAGTTGTCACTAAATATTGGGTACTTGTCAAAATCATTATACTTGAATTAGGTGTATATTTGCCTGATTTATATAAAATGGTGATGTGGTTGCAATTGCTGTTGCCTTTTGAGAGAAACGGAGAGCGAGAGCAGGGCCGCAAAGTTTAAGTTGTAATCCAGTCTTGTCTCTCTGATTCCCTCCTCCAAGATTTTTGATCAGCCACAAAATGAGTTTGGCTCTTTAAGGAATTTTTTCCCTTAAAACCACGGACAAAAAGAAAACATTTTGGACAGTGGAGAACAAAACTGAAACTGTCTTCCCTTATGTCTTCATACAAAAAAAGGCAGCTCTGAGATTAAAGAAATGCTCCCTCATGTTGATTCATTCAATACTACTTGTTTCAAGAGGGAAAATAGTCTTTCCAAAGCATTTACATTTCAGGCAGGATGCCTAGTGTGTGTTATTCTTTACATCCAATGATACACATTTCATGTGTTCTTTTCGTTCATATCATGCTGACTATATTCGGATGTCTGTTGAATGACACACCACAGATTCTTTTGCCAAGACGTTAAGTGGGCTCAGTTAGGTCAGCTGCCGTGCGGTAAAGTTTCATCCCACCAATTAATTAGCCATCAAATTAGCAGGAATGTTAAAACAGAGGAAGATCCTGGGGAAAATGGGGATGTTGGGATAGCAGGAATCTGTGTGTTGGAGAATATCTGTGTGTGTGTGTGCTGTAGGGGGAAGGATGTTCAAGGGAAGAGGAGCTTTTTTCACTCCTGACCAGCTCCCTAAATGGAAAGAACAACACTGACTGATCATGCAGGTCCAGTAATTCTGAAGTCCGATGTGCAAATCAGTAAAACGATGTTTATTTTGAGCTGCACATCATTTTGTGTGACAGATCGAAAGATTGCTTGAAAGCAATGCTTGTGGTTGTCATTGGTATTTCGCCATTTCTTTCACAGTTTGCGGTTTATTGCCCATCTGTGGCTTCATGAACTCATGAGCAGGGTTTTCACGACATGCACCCCTGGTGATTTTTTTTTTCCCCCAAATGAAACTGACAGTAAAGCTCTCAAATCTTTGGAAGGATGACTAAGCGAAACTCAACTCTGCAGGCTTCAGGAATCTCAAGTTTAAAACAATGTTTCGACTTCAGCTCTCTTAAGTCTTTGTATCTCATTATCACTCAACTGACCAGTGTTTGTTTTCTATGAAAAAGATTTTGGGCCTAAAAATAAAGAGGTTCAAAGCATTCTCAATGCCTTTGAACATTTTTGCTACAACTTTTGCTTACACTGTTTCTATACAGTACCTGCATAGTTCTGATAAAATCAGGGCTCCAGAGAGAGAAAAAAAGAGAAATAATATTTATGTTGTATTTATTATAGTTAAAACACTCAAATAAAGTTTCAGCCTTAAAACTGGAAATTATGTTAAACTATATATTATTTGATTATATGTATTGATATATATTTTAGATTTTTTTAAAAATATTAAAACATTTTTAAATGAGTCTATTATAATGTACTTTATTTTTTCAACCAAAATACTGCTGTATTCACGTATCTTTATTTATTACATGTTGTAATAAGAACAGTTATAAATAATAAGTAAATTGCCGATGTAAATCTCACAAACCTAAAATATAGCTGTTATACTGCACAATAACAGTTAATTTCAAATCAGCTTGAAAATGACTCTGTCAGCAGTAACGACTCTAAATGATTCACTGACTGAGTCAGTCTGATTCAAACCACTAAAAGGAAGCAATTTTTTCCCTTAAAACCACGGACAAAAAGAAAACATTTTGGACAGTGGAGAACAAAACTGAAACTGTCTTCCCTTATGTCTTCATACAAAAAAAGGCAGCTCTGAGATTAAAGAAATGCTCCCTCATGTTGATTCATTCAATACTACTTGTTTCAAGAGGGAAAATAGTCTTTCCAAAGCATTTACATTTCAGGCAGGATGCCTAGTGTGTGTTATTCTTTACATCCAATGATACACATTTCATGTGTTCTTTTCGTTCATATCATGCTGACTATATTCGGATGTCTGTTGAATGACACACCACAGATTCTTTTGCCAAGACGTTAAGTGGGCTCAGTTAGGTCAGCTGCCGTGCGGTAAAGTTTCATCCCACCAATTAATTAGCCATCAAATTAGCAGGAATGTTAAAACAGAGGAAGATCCTGGGGAAAATGGGGATGTTGGGATAGCAGGAATCTGTGTGTTGGAGAATATCTGTGTGTGTGTGTGCTGTAGGGGGAAGGATGTTCAAGGGAAGAGGAGCTTTTTTCACTCCTGACCAGCTCCCTAAATGGAAAGAACAACACTGACTAATCATGCAGGTCCAGTAATTCTGAAGTCCGATGTGCAAATCAGTAAAACGATGTTTATTTTGAGCTGCACATCATTTTGTGTGACAGATCGAAAGATTGCTTGAAAGCAATGCTTGTGGTTGTCATTGGTATTTCGCCATTTCTTTCACAGTTTGCGGTTTATTGCCCATCTGTGGCTTCATGAACTCATGAGCAGGGTTTTCACGACATGCACCCCTGGTGATTTTTTTTTTCCCCCAAATGAAACTGACAGTAAAGCTCTCAAATCTTTGGAAGGATGACTAAGCGAAACTCAACTCTGCAGGCTTCAGGAATCTCAAGTTTAAAACAATGTTTCGACTTCAGCTCTCTTAAGTCTTTGTATCTCATTATCACTCAACTGACCAGTGTTTGTTTTCTATGAAAAAGATTTTGGGCCTAAAAATAAAGAGGTTCAAAGCATTCTCAATGCCTTTGAACATTTTTGCTACAACTTTTGCTTACACTGTTTCTATACAGTACCTGCATAGTTCTGATAAAATCAGGGCTCCAGAGAGAGAAAAAAAGAGAAATAATATTTATGTTGTATTTATTATAGTTAAAACACTCAAATAAAGTTTCAGCCTTAAAACTGGAAATTATGTTAAACTATATATTATTTGATTATATGTATTGATATATATTTTAGATTTTTTTAAAAATATTAAAATTTTTTTAAATGAGTCTATTATAATGTACTTTATTTTTTCAACCAAAATACTGCTGTATTCACGTATCTTTATTTATTACATGTTGTAATAAGAACAGTTATAAATAATAAGTAAATTGCCGATGTAAATCTCACAAACCTAAAATATAGCTGTTATACTGCACAATAACAGTTAATTTCAAATCAGCTTGAAAATGACTCTGTCAGCAGTAACGACTCTAAATGATTCACTGACTGAGTCAGTCTGATTCAAACCACTAAAAGGAACTTGAGGCTGTTTCATGAAGCTTTTTTGGCTGACTCATAAAAAGAACCATTTCATAAAAGGCCCATTCATACCAAAAATCATAACTATAAGGATAATTACATCTAATGTACCAATACACAATAATGTTATTATAACCATGTGCTGTTGTTCTGTTGTCTGCCACTGTAAATGCTCAAGCTTTTAAAGCAGGATGGATTCTGATAGGCTGTCAATGTTTTTAGCTTTCATCAGCTAGAAAAAAAATCCTTTCAAAAGTGATTCCAACTATATCATTCCTGCATGTCGTTATTGTTATAGTTGTGGTGTGGACTTGCGGACACGATTTTTAAAACTATATCACTATCATTATAGTAATCATCATGTGAACAGGCCTTAAAGGGTAATTTTTTAATGATTCAGACATCAAGGCTCATGCTGCGTTTGCATATCTCAAGCTATGTTTCCATTCAAAGTTGCGGATTTTACTTAAAAATGGAATATTGCATAAATAGTTTTGCGAATAAATCCATCCATGTGTTAAAGAGAACAAAATTGTCACTTCCTGGGAAACTGGTGTAAATAATCACTAATAAAAATGGATATTGCTGGAACTGGGGAAACCACTGTAGCTCATAATGGCACATGCGATAACAAACGCTGTCATGTTAACTTGCATTTGGAGGAGGAGCACACACATATATATATATATATATATATTCTTCATTTATAAAACAAACAAACAGACAAACAAACAAACAAACAATATATATATATATAAACGAATAAAAATGACACAAATACACAACACTATACGACTAAAACTTTAACTAGAATTAAAATGAAAACATAAAAATAAAAATAAATAAAATATAAAAATACAATTTAATTCAAATTATTACAAAAAATTATAATAGTATATAAATTATATTAAACATAGATTTAGCACTGAACATGTGTGGGTGTAACACCCAATACCAAGTGTACAAGGGGTCACTAGTAGGCCAGGCTAA